AGTTTTTGCTACAAACAATCGAACACAGATTAGCCACATTGGAATCTTCCAATAGTGAACAACAGCCTGACAACAAAGGGGGAAAAAGAACACAATTCAAAACGTACTAGCACATACCATACCAATCCAAAAATTCTGAAACCTGAAGTTTTCAGTCTCTGCTTGAGGTGTTGGATTTGAGTTGAAGAACTTGGGCGGCCAAGAGTGCAAACTCTGAGTAAGTGAGCGTCCAAGTCGCGCTTTCCCTGCCTCCAGATAGCACAGTGAGATCTATGGCCATCATCGTCTCCACGTCAATCGGGAAACCATCGCTCACTTCCCTTCCCCTAGCTATCCCCTCTCATCTCCCCAAGCTCTCCCCTTTCTCCCGGCCCCGCCTCCCACCTCAGTACCTCTACCTCACCCACCCGGCCATCCCCCAAGAAGGCAAGAACTACCTACTCATCAGCCATGGCGCCGCCGTCGGTGTCCGCCTCCCACCTCCTCATCACCGCCTCGCTCCCAAAGCCGAAGCCTTCCTCCCTCCGCCCGCCGCGGCTCCCTCTCGCCAAGCCCCTCCCCGCGGCGGCGGCGCTCCTCGCTCTCACCGCCTCACCCGCGCTCGCCGCAGACGCGCCTGCCCCCTCCCCGGCCCCGGCGCCCGAGCTCCAGGCCGAGGCGCCCACCACGACCGCCAACCCCTTCTCCAGCTCGCTCCTCACGGCGCCCAAGCCCTCCGCGGCCGCCTCCGACCTCCCCGAGGGCGCGCAGTGGCGGTACAGCGAGTTCCTGTCCGCCGTCAAGCGGGGCAAGGTGGAGCGCGTGCGCTTCACCAAGGACGGCGGCCTGCTCCAGCTGACGGCCGTCGACGGCCGCCGTGCCACCGTGGTGGTCCCCAACGACCCGGACCTCATCGACATCCTGGCCACCAACGGCGTCGACATCTCCGTTTCCGAGGGCGAGTCGGCGGGGCCGGGCGGCTTCGTCGCCTTCGTCGGCAACCTCCTCTTCCCGTTCCTCGCCTTCGCGGGCCTCTTCTTCCTCTTCCGCCGCGCGCAGGGCGGGCCAGGCGCCGGCCCCGGCGGGCTCGGCGGGCCCATGGACTTCGGCCGCTCCAAGAGCAAGTTCCAGGAGGTGCCTGAGACGGGCGTCACCTTCCTCGACGTTGCCGGCGCGGACCAGGCCAAGCTCGAGCTGCAGGAGGTCGTCGATTTCCTCAAGAACCCCGACAAGTACACCGCGCTCGGAGCCAAGATCCCCAAGGGGTGTCTCCTGGTCGGCCCGCCTGGGACTGGGAAGACCCTCCTCGCGCGTGCCGTCGCTGGGGAGGCTGGGGTGCCCTTCTTCTCCTGCGCGGCCTCTGAGTTCGTCGAGCTCTTCGTCGGTGTCGGTGCCTCCAGGGTGCGCGACCTCTTCGAGAAGGCCAAGGCCAAGGCGCCCTGCATTGTCTTCATTGATGAGATTGACGCCGTCGGGAGGCAGCGTGGTGCCGGACTTGGTGGGGGTAATGACGAGAGAGAGCAGACCATTAACCAGCTCTTGACGGAGATGGATGGCTTCGCTGGCAACAGTGGTGTCATTGTGCTTGCCGCGACCAACAGGCCCGATGTGCTGGACTCGGCGCTCCTACGGCCAGGGAGGTTCGATAGGCAGGTCACGGTTGACAGGCCAGATGTTGCAGGGCGCGTCAAGATTCTTGAGGTCAGTTGTCAGTGACGAACCCGTGTTGCTACTAACCTGTAAATTTGTGCTTAGCTAGCAGTTGATATGCTTCTGAACTACTAGTAGTGTTGATGAACTTATTTATAAACCTGCTTAGAGCCCCTGCCACTAAAGATACTTTCATTAGTTAAGTGACATTGATGCAGTTATTCTACAAAAGAGTACTTCCTTGCTTGGAAATCGACAAACACAGATGAAAAATTGAATCTTTGCAATAGTTAGCCTGGACGCTGGAGACGCTCCACATCTTCTTAGAGAGTTATAAGATGCTGGGTCATAACTAATTTGATTAGTGCAAATGAGGCTACATATTTGGCAGTTGGCTGCCCCTTAAATGTATAAGTCGTTAGGGTGATTTGTCAAATCTACCAACACCATGGTTCTATGTATCGAATAATAGAACAAAGGATTCATATCCTTGTAAGATTAGAACATATGTTGTTTTCTAGCTTTGTGGGTTCCATCCACTATGCCCTTAATGTATCTCCAATTCTCCATCTACTCATGCTAACCTTTATAGCTGCAAGCTGTACTAGCATGCACAAAGTTATTAAAAAAATCCTTGATTTTTCCCAGCATCCTGAGATCATTTTAAATGTATACTTGAGCTTACAAGTCATGTTTTTCTAATCAAATAGGTCCACTCCCGAGGAAAGGCTTTGGCAAAAGATGTCGACTTTGAGAAAATTGCTAGAAGGACCCCTGGTTTCACTGGTGCTGACCTCCAAAACCTCATGAATGAGGCTGCCATCCTTGCTGCTCGCCGTGATCTTAAGGAAATTAGCAAGGATGAGATCTCTGATGCTCTTGAGAGAATCATCGCTGGGCCTGAGAAGAAAAATGCTGTTGTTTCTGAGGAGAAGAAGAGGCTTGTAGCTTACCATGGTAAATGTTGTCAAATTATAACCAGAAGTTATAAATCCTCTTGTGGGGTTCAGGTTCCTCACCTGTTTCTGAACTTCTGCACTTGTAGAGGCTGGTCATGCCCTTGTCGGCGCCCTCATGCCAGAGTATGATCCAGTAGCCAAGATTTCCATCATTCCTCGTGGCCAGGCTGGTGGACTCACATTCTTTGCTCCAAGCGAAGAAAGGCTAGAATCTGGATTGTACAGCAGGAGCTATCTTGAGAACCAAATGGCTGTAGCCCTTGGTGGCAGGTGCTTTTTCATGAAATTTTTGTTCATTTCTGCACCATTAACTGTTGCTGTTGCGCACAGTGATGGACTGTTTGAGCTAATCTCATGGTTTGCAGGGTTGCTGAAGAGGTGATCTTTGGCCAAGAAAATGTCACAACAGGAGCTTCCAACGACTTTATGCAGGTGTCACGTGTTGCAAGACAGATGGTCGAAAGATTTGGATTCAGTAAGAAGATTGGCCAAGTTGCGATTGGGGGACCTGGTGGAAACCCTTTCTTGGGGCAACAGGTATGCCACTGTAACTGAAATGGATTTGCAAGAATAATTATGTTAGCCTGGAATCAAGAACATGTAAAAATCAACCGAAGAACTAGGCATGCAAACTTCAACAATAGCAGCATATGTGCTCAACAATTCTTGTCTCCATTTGCTCGGTTTCCAGAAATCTCCACCAGCATCTAGGGAAGGTCATTTTCTACATGTTCTGTAGTGCCTACTTACCTTGATGACCACTGCAAACCTGGATCCCCGTCTAATGTGTTTGCATAGCACGCCACTTGTATACTGCCAATTCTGTCGTCATCGGTTTGTACCAACAGTGTGAAACTGTGAATAGGCACGCATCTCATTTTGTGTGGCTGCTGCGACCCTGACTGCCCTGCCTAACATGAAAATATCTCGTCTGCTTTACCTTTTTCTTCTCAGAATTTCCCTGGCTAGCTAACTCTTAGCCAGTCAGAATAGTAGTCTGACAATTGTTCACGTTTTGTAGCACCAGTTTAAAGAGTAATCTGACAAATATTCACATTTTCTTTTCTCATAGATGTCAAGCCAGAAGGACTACTCGATGGCGACAGCAGATGTTGTGGACGCTGAGGTGAGGGAACTGGTGGAGAAGGCCTACTCTAGAGCAACACAGATCATCACCACGCACATTGACATCCTCCACAAGCTCGCCCAGCTCCTGATCGAGAAGGAGACCGTGGACGGGGATGAGTTCATGAGCTTGTTCATTGATGGCCAAGCCGAGTTGTTTGTCGCTTGAGATATCACAAGGCGTGTGGCTAGCTAGCTCGCCGCGGTGTATATGCTTTTGAGTGATTTGTGCGAGAGCAATCACAAAGGGATGAAAATGGAGAGCCCAGCTTGTAGGAACCACATTGATGTAGCCAAAGATGTTTTTGCATACCTGTATAGTAGTTGATTGTAAAAAGCATCTACTGACTTTGAGCAAGTAAAATGTTACTGCTTAGAATTATAGCACATGGTTGACCTGTCGCCTGTGAATAAATATGCTCATCTCATGCTACTGGGCGCTACTGGGCTATATTCATCTGACTGCGTATAAATGAGTAAATTTAGACATGCTGCGGTCCCTACTTTTTTCCTGTACCCTAACAACTTTTGTTGTGAAGTTTAGAAAAGTGCAAAGAAAAGTGAATGCAATCTGTAGAAAATACAATGACTAGTCATTTGCACACATATATACGTACTCTCCATCTACTTCAATATGATTTGATGAGGGTACAAACATGACAAAAAAAATTCTTCAAACTTTATTGTTGCTGATCCTGTTTGTCACATCACAGAGAAAATAAAACAATCCATTTGAGTACCGAGTTGCAGCAAGGCACAAAGTACAGGCAGCTCTCTGCTCTTACATATTTATTTCAGAAATGAGAAAAAAAAAAAATACAAATAGTAGCAGCCAAATGGAGTTTTATAAGGCCTCAGCTTTTCATCTGATTCATATGCAGGTTCAGAAGTGATGTCGTCTGAAGAAACAACATTTCATTCCAGAAGCAACATAGATGGAAGCATATATGACTGTAAATGTACCTACGGTGACACATCTTTGGTGGCGCACTCTCACCCTTCGAATATCTCTTGCAACATGTCTTCAAGCATTTGGGGTCTGAATTTCGGGGTAGTAATAATAATAAATTTGTAATCTTTTATATATTTTGTATAGACTGGAATGATTTTCTCGGCGATAGCTTTGCGTAGCATTTTTCTCAGCTCAGGATCCGGGACCTTCCATAGCTTTTGGGTAGTGTAGACTTTCTTAAATTCAGACTCGAATTTGGATAATGAGGAGTTGTGTCTCTTTCTCCCAAAGAAGATAGGTGTAGGATTGAGCAAGCATGATAATGGCGGTGCCCATTATAACTGTAGATAGCTCTGCATATAGCTCTCAACTTTGCCAGCGAGGACTGTCACGTGGACTTGGTGAGAAGGGAAAGGATAGTCGATGAGGTACTTCCATATCATGTTTGCGTTGTTAAGCAAGAATAAAAATCTGAGGGCTTGATCTTGAAATGATTCGGACTTGTTAGCAAGCTTTTCTTGTACAGAAGAAACCATCTCAATAACCAGGCTGATTAAAGGAGGCACTTGTCTACTCTGAGGCACATACTTACCAAGTCTAGATGCTTGAGATACAATTGGAACCATTGACGAGTAACGAGACCGTAGGAACATTATGTACCCCATTACAGACCGAGTGGCCGTGTGAATGTCCGATGATCCTGCTTGTGGATCTTGAGAAGAAGTTGATGAATTGTCGCCGTCCTCCATGGACTCCATCCTAATTTGCTCCATTGTGCTCCATATGGCGTCACCCGCCTTGCGGTTCTTTGCTGACAAGAGGCTGACAATCTCACCCGTCATCCTTTCAACCTGTTGAGAGGGTGGCGAATGGAATACCAGCCGGACTTTGGACAAGGCCTTGGACAGAGCATTGTGCACACTCAGCAGTATGTTGATCCTGTTGTATAGTGGCGGCACCCCATTCCCATTGTCAACAAAAGATTCACAAGTGGTAGTGTTATTAGGATCCAGAGCAACTATGATGTCAACAAAAGAAAGCATTTTCGACATGGCTTCTTGGATAAATGGTTCAATATCATTGAATTGATCCGGAAAATAATACTCAGCCTCAGGTTCTTGCTGGATAGATCGTCCAATATCGTTGAATTGATCCGGAAAACAATGCCCATTAGCCTCAGGTTCTTCTTCTTCATCCTCAAAAATACTGGACAGCCCCTGGGAAGGATGATCCGGAAAGAGCGATGCCGTGAAGCGGATGGTTTCCGTGATCTCAGCGAGAGCCCGGATCCAGCTCCGTGCTTTAGAAGTAGTAGTAGTATGCTCGAGTATTCCAGCAGATGCACCGCCACCGTCAGCGAGGTTCAGGTGGAGAACCCAGGCGACGCTCAGCTCGGTGAACCACCTCTCTAGGTCTAGGACGCCGCCGCCTTTGATGCTGCTGCAGTTCGCCGACGGCGGCGGCGCACCCAAGAATTCCTGGAGTAATATTCTGATGCGCACCCCCTTCTCTGCTCCTTCTTCTTCCCTGTCGTAGTAGTCGGATTCCTCCAAGTCGAGGTGCATGACCGCCTCTATGGAGAAAGAGGACAGGCGAGAACCGCGGGATGTGTAGGTAGTCTGAGTTGAGACTATGGTACCTGATGAGGAGCTGTAGCTGATGCTATTGGTCTGCTCCTGGACGCCATCCCTGCCCCCCGTGGCCTCCATCTCCATGCTAAGCTTAACTGCTTAAGCTAGCAAGTGGCGATGTGATCTGCAGTGAGCAAATCTCCCCGAACCCCGATCCAGGCTAAGCCGGATTATGTCAGGTTGCCGTTGCCTTGACTTGACTTGACTCGAGGCCGGCCAGGTTTGGGGAAGGACAAGGAAAAACTGTCGTGTGGACTGTGGAGGGGGCTCATTGTTAGACTATATGTAGAGGAGGTTCAGGTGGACAGATTCGCTTCCCTTGTCTATAGTACTGACTTCAGAAATCAGGATAACTCAAAATGATAATTTTTCACACGAGTTACCTCCCCCCTCGTTCCTCTCACTCTCACACTCTTCCATGAATCATGGCCCATCAAATTAGCAAACACAATCACACAGATTGACCTTTCACGATTTGTTCTTGTTTGACTGCACTCTAATCCAAGATGCACATAGTTTGGGAGAGATTGAGGTGAAAAATGAAGTAAATTTTGGCCTTAATCCCCTCCAAACTATATGGATCGAAGTGCAGCCAAACAAGGTCTCACCGAGTCTTTCACCACTCTTTCAACAATACGCCAGCAGAAAGACATGTGCAGCACTGTCGATAAAAGATGCTCGGCAGTCCTCCGAGGGGTATCACACGAAGGTAAATTTGTCGATGGAGGTGCGCGTGATCAGAAACTAGATGGTGACATAAGGCGTAGAGACAGCGATTTAGACATGTTTGGGCCATCTGATCGACGTAATACCCTACGTCCTGTGTCTTTGGTGTATTGTATTGATCTGGATAGCCATGTAGATCGATGTCCACTAGGGGACCCCTGTCTCTCCTTATATACTCTAGAGGGATAGGGTTACAAGAAAAATATCCTATTTGGTACTATACAATATCTTACGGTGCACGTCGACCAGTGCCATGCACGCCTTGATCTTATGGGCTGGGGCACCTCTGATGGTGCGGCCCATGTCTTGTCTTGTGGATACCAAAGGTCATACCCCACATCTAGTCTCCGAGTCTGATAATAGATGACGTAGTCACATGATACCACCGTTACTCGTACGAGGGCATCGGAAAGACTGGACAGTAAATTATAGACGTCTCACCGTTTACCACTGTTACCACTATGAGAGGCTCCGATAGGGAAAGCCTCATGCGCCTATTACCCCTACGAGAGCCGAGAGATTGAGATCAGAAGCGCCTTGCGCTGTCTATCACTAAAAGAATAACGTTATTAAATATTAAAGTAAATCTAAGAAAATACGAGCAGCTACGTCATGTCGAGGACTTGAATCCGGTGAATAGGTTTTACCGTAAGGAACCTTTACTAGTTGAGACACGCTCGGTTCACAAGCCTTTCTTTTCTCTTTATATTTATTTATGTCTACTTTTATATTTTTTAAACAAACATTTGATGCATTTTCCCATGGGTTTGGCACGTTTGGATGAGTTAAACATGCGACAATTGTTTCACACACAAGGTTTCCTAATATTAGTTTTCTCTTCACTATCACCCTGTTCCCTTGACTTATAAGTCGTACTTTTTCAGCCAACAAATAATATTTTCCTCTCACAATAAATCAGCCAATAATACTTTCAGCCATACTTATCAACCAAACAAACATGGCTTATATTGATAAAAACAGTGAAATTTATATAGACAGATCCTCGAAGCAAACACCAATATCAGCAACCGAGTCCCTACTAACACTCTATGGACACCTAGTATGCTGTGGATATATGTGCTTCAACAAGTACTCAAGTAGTAATATTTGTGATAATAGTCCCGTTCGACTTACTTCATATCCAATTTGTTCGATTTCTTTTTTCAACCGCAATAATTTTTTTTCTCACAACATTTCAACCAGAACAGTGTTTTCAGCCAATTTCAGCCAAGATTCAGCGAGCCGAACGAGGCCAACGTTGCTATGTGCTTGAACACGGTACCACCCCCCACCCCCCACCAAAGAGGCGTCGTCCACATCCTTTGACTCCCGCTGTTCCCTCGTCTGCAAAATGCAAATTAAGTGTTGTTTAGTTTTCAAATTTTTGCAAAATTTTTCAAGATTTCCCGTCACATCGAATCTTTGGACGCATGCATGAAGCATTAAATATAAATAAAAAATAAAACTAATTACACAGTTTAGACGAAATTCACGAGACGAATCTTTTAAACCTAATTAGACTATGATTGGACACTAATTACCAAATAACAACGAAAATGCTACGGTATCATTTCCTAAAAATTTCCCAACTAAACAAGACCTAAATCATATGCATCTATCGGTCCGCAATTGGGTAGGTATGTTTATAAATTGTATTTAAAAACAAATACAATGACTAGTCATCTTCACACATAAGTATACTACATGTCTACATCCACTTGGACACGCAAAGGTGTTTTAGTTTTGTCATAGGTCAAGCTCTCTCTGTAACTTACCCAACTTTATTTATATAAAAAAACGCATCGAATAAATTTCATCGAATCCAGCGAGGCCATTTCTCCGTGGTCGTGCGCCTCCTATTTCTATTTGTTCCGTTCCGTTTCCTCTGCCCCTAGAATCCAGCGACGAGATTGCCGGCCTCCAGCGAGGTCTCTGCACGTCTTAGTCTTGGAGTGTCATGTACCGGGCTCGGTGGGCCTAGGAGCAGGCCTCGGCCCATCTACCGGAAGGGCCAGAGTACAAAGGACAGGAAGCTACGCTCAGGAACGCATCCAACAGAGTAAAAAATGGTGAGTACGTGAGGCGGTCAGCGCGTCCCGGTTCGACCTAGGGCACACCTAGGGTCTGGCGACCTTGGCGGCGATTCCCGTCGTTGAGGGTTTTTGGCCGCGATCGAGTGGCTTCCTGCGACCCTGGTGAGTGCTGCGCGTTCGGGCCGATCAAGGGGTTGACTAGCTCAACTGCCCGGCCTTGGCGCTGCGCACCCGTTAGGGTTCTTGCGAAGCTATGGTGGCGGAAAATTCTAAGGAAGGAGCGATGCGTGGCGATCTGGATGTGGATGATCTGTTGTCCCAATGAGTTGCTTGAGTTGGAACTGTCGTGGACTTGGCAATGCCGCGACAGTCAAAGAGCTTCGCGAATTCGCGAAGAGTGCTACCCCTACAGTTTTGTGTGTTCTTGAAACTCAGGTGCACAAATAACGGGTAGAGGGCTTGAAAAAGACACTCGGCTATGATAATGCTTTTGCTGTCAGTTGTAATGGCCGTAGTGGTGGTTTGGGAATTTTTTGTAATAATAATATCAGTGTCTCTTAGTTACCATATTCACGGTATCACATCGATGCTATTGTTACAGAGGGGGGCACTGACCCTTGGAGACTTACGTGTGTTTACGGGGAGGCGCAAGTGAGTGAGTGACATAAGACTTGGGACATGCTCAAGTTTACCAGATCATCATCTCCTTTGCCTTGGGTTTGTATCGGTGATTTCAATGAAGTTCTACATCGCTCGGAACATGTTGGGGTTCAAGAAAGAACTGCAGCCCAGATTGCGGCGTTCCGAGAGATGGTCGATGTGTGCGGCCTAACTGTATCGGTTTTAGTGGCGGTGCTGGACTTTTGAAAAGAAGGTCAATGGTGGATCATATTGCCGAGTTCAACTAGATCGTGCGCTTGTGTCAGGTGACTGGTACCTGCGTTTCCCTAGTGCCGCTGTACAGCACCTTGTTGCAGCGGCGTCCGATCACGAACCCATTTTGTTGACCTGGCTTAGGGTGGACAACGTGTAGAAGAAGCATCACCGTTTCAGATATGAGGTGATGTGGGAAGCGCATGAGGCTTTCACTTCATCCTTGGCCGAATCATGGCAGCAAGACCGTGTAGCAGTGACAGTAAAGGAGTTACAACTCAAGCTGAAGTGGGTGGCGAACCACTTGGGCAGCTGGGAGCGACAAATCTTTGGTCACGTGAGACGGGAGTTACAGTCCTTGAAGAAGGATCTGGAGAGGATGTAGACGGACCCTAGTCGATTGGGGCCTTCTCAGGCTGAGTTGAAGACCATTGAAAGAATAAATAAATTGCATCACAGGGAGGAAATTATGTGGCGTCAGCGTTCAAGAATTCAATGGTTGGCGGAAGGGGGATCGGAATACAAAGTTTTTTCATCTCTGAGCGAGCCAGAGAGGGAGGAAGAATATGATAAAAAACTTAGAAAGTCGAATGGTGAGTTTACATCCGATGAGAAGGAGATGGGCGAGATGACTACTTATTTTTTTCAAAAAATCTCTATACTTCGGAAGATACACTAAACATGCAAGCTATTCTGGATTCGGTGCTCGTTAAAGTTTCAGCGGAGATGAATGAAGGTTTGATGGCGCCATTTATAGAAAAGGAGGTAAAGGAAGCACTCTTCCAGATGTTTCCAACTAAGGCTTCAGGCCCTGGATAGTTTTATTGCTCATTTTCCAGCGACATTGGGACTTCTGTGGCAAGGAAATCACATCGGTGGTCTTGAGGGTACTTAGTGGTGAAGATGATCCGGCTACAATTAATGACACGTTGAAAGCTCTATTTTGGTTTTGGTGAATTGATGAAACCCTAAGTGCTAACCTAGTTTATCAAAGTGACCATGAGATAGGTAGCATATTCCAAGTGGTGAAGCAAATGAAGATCATGACATGATGATGGTGATGCCATGGTGATGATCAAGTGCTTGGACTTAAAAAGAAGAAAGAGAAAAAACAAAAGGCTCAAGGCAAAGGTATAAGTTGTAGGAGCCATTTTGTTTTGGTGATCAAGACACTTAGTGGGTGTGATCACATTTAGGATCGATAGCCGTACTATTAAGAGGGGTGAAACTCATATCGAAATGCGGTTATCAAAGTGCCACTAGAAGCTCTAACTCATTGCATATGCATTTAGGATCTAGTGGAGTGCTAACACCCTTGAAAATGTTTATGAAAATATGCTAACACATGTGTACAAGGTGATACGCTTGGTGGTTGGCATATTTGAGCAATGGTTAGGAACTTCACCGGCAGAGTGTCTGCCCATAGAGTGCAGACAGTCCGACGGT